ACTACGCTCCAGTAAAATAATATATATATATACATATATAATTATTAGGAATAATTCCAAATATTTCTACATATTAGCATAGCATTTGGAAACCTTTATAAAGGTGAATGTTATTGTTTTTTGTTCTTTTAGTTTCGACTCCAAAGATCACGTAAGATTCTCTATTTACTGACACTTTCCAGAATCATACATTTGCCTTTTTTTTTGTAGTTTATAGCTACACAAAACATACACTTAGAGCAAATTATCGGGCTACCATACTGTCCGTAAATGACCTTAACAATATCAGACTCAAGCATGATAATTCGTGTTGCTACATCAAAAGGCTTTTCTGACGTAGTATTGTTCTCTTGAGAATGAAACAATAAACGCCAAACAAAGAAAAAAAGACTAAAGAATTTATTCATCTCAAAGACTACAAGGTACCGATATGAAGGTCGATTAAAACAAAAATCCAATATTTGATTTTATAACCAACAGCGTCAAAGTTGTTTTTTTCTCTCTCTCTTTTTTTCCCTTGTACTTCTCTGTTGGCGTCGTTTTATTTTTGTTCCTTTTTTTAAGATATCTAGCTTGCTGATCTTGACCTTCACTTTATCCTCAACATCTATGTCAAGGCCAGCCAAACCCGATTTCCAATACGTCCGTCTATTCAATGTCACTAGAAAACAGAAGCCATAGGACAGGAGCGCCATTTCAGATTGAAAGAAGGGGGGGGGGGGGAAGAGGCAGGCACACGAACAAATTTTATTTGTGGTTTAGGGGCTGGTTAGACGCTTTTTAACATTTTAAAGATTAAAATGTAATCAGTCTACTTCGGAAGGATTTGCTCCTATTATTTCGTATGTTATTTAATAACAGTTCAAAAAGTGCAAATCACACATTATATACACGTATTTGGTTCCTACAATTAACAAGTGGTGTGACACACAGTAGGGCAACTGGGCCATTCCATTGCATAGTACCCCTGCTATAGGCCGAAGGTGTTATGTAAAATTGTTATAAATGAAAGTGTTTTATTTACTGGAGTCAAACTTGTTTGACAAAACGTCACAACAACAAAAACTATATATACAAGTATGTTTACACAGCATTGTAAACACTACTTATTACCATATAGTAATATGATGTTATCAGTTTTCAGAAAGTATTCGTTTTTCTGGATTTACTGTTCCCATTACTATTAATAAGAAACCCGAGAAAAGTGAACCATAACCACTGGAGTATTAAGCTATACCCTTCGGGTTTCAGATGAAATTCTAAATAATCTTTCAATAAATGCGTTCACTTTTAACTAACTTAGAAATAGGATTAGCGACGAAAAATCTTAAAAAGAAACCTAAATAAATTAGAATTATTTTATGCTTAAATAAAAGGTGTCCCAGAAGTCTGGACCCATAGAAAAACACACACACACTTTATTATTTATTTATTTATTATTCAAATTTCATGCCATTAACAGCCACACATATCAATTCTTGGTATACTGTACCATGGGGGTATTTTCTTCCATGAAATATGTACAACTGACATTAGAAACGTGTTTGTTGAAGTTTAAGAATGTAAATATACTTTTCCCTATGGGTCCACACTTCTGGAACACCCTGTGTACTAGCAAACGAAGTTTAACATTTTAAAGTACAGTCTTTATTTACCATTCCTTTAAGCTGATTACATTATTGCGACACATGCAAGTAAAAAATTGTTTACTTATTCGTCCTGTTTATTGCTTGCTCTGTAAAGTTGAAACGTTAAAAATCTCTCGGAAGAATAATGTTCACCCATCAACACACCCATGTAGCAAGTAACATTTAATATCATAGAGATGTATGGATGGTATCAGCGGTATATTTTTATGTCATCCATACATCTGTATGATATTAAATGTTACAAATATGGTTCGTTTCTAGATTCAGTGTATAATCACCACACTCGTGTAGCAAGTAACATTTAATATCATAGAGATGTATGGATGACATCAAAATATACCGCTGATACAGGGAAATAAGTATGGTTCGTTTCTATATCCAGTGTATGATCACCACACCCGTGTAGCAAGTAACATTTAATATCATAGAGATGTATGGATGACATAAAAATATACCGCTGATACAGAGAAATAAGTATGGTTCGTATTCTATATCCCTGCTGTTACAGGGGCTTTTTACGGCTTTATAAATAGAATAATAGGACTTAGTGTCACTTTTATAACGCACCCATGGCTTATCACATTCCCGCACTCTCAGCCGCCATCACGTCTGGACCCTAGACCCTTTAATCCATAGATCACGCTAACCACATTGTTTGTTTAATAATTTTCGCGCAATACTACACAAATGGCCGTCCTTAATTATAAAGTTATTGGCTTGAGGGAAAGCAGCTAATCAACACCACCCCCGCTAACTCGTCTACCTGAATAGTGATATTTGACCTTCAGTCTTATAGCGCACCCGCGATCTCAAAGTACAAAGCTCATTTTTGTACGGCAACGGGACAGAAACCACAAATCCTCGGATTTACAGTCCGGGCACGCTAACTGCTAGGGTCACGACAAGCCCTGACCTTCGTAGTGTAAGAGAGAGAGTATAAAAAATGGCCTTCACGCATGGTTTGTTTTACAATACCACATAAAAATATCATTTCAAGTATCGTAATGGATGCTACCTTCACAGACCTAACACTGTATATAGCATGCTTACCATTAGTTAAACCGATACTTCCCGCATATCAATATGTATATAACCCGTTAGACCGCATGACAACGGCAACTTAAAAAATACAGTTTCGTTACGAGAACTTTGTTTTATTAATTAATGTACCTCGTTTGGCGTAGGAGGCGGAGGATATCGGAAGCCACTTTTTGTTCGTTTTGTGAGGTTAACAAGAAACTTTTTTTTTTGCAATTTACAGAAATCTTGAATGTAATATTTTACTTTGGAATAAATGAAGATTTAGAAGAATACTCTGTCTTACAATGGTGGCATTTGCTCTTCACAAACAACCAAGCTGTTTACATTCTTCGTGCTAACCATGCGCGACTTTTTTTTTTAAGCCCTGTGGGCAAATATGTGGCAAACCTCCCTAGGAGGGCAAATAAAATATTTAATACAACAACCTAAAAAAACGACGAAAGCAGTATATGTTGTTTTTTTTTAATGTCACGTCTCCAAAGATGCCATATAAAAAACAATAAAAGGAATTTCGCTGTAACCTTGACCGCAAGATGCTGCCTCACGAATGTCAACAAATAAGTAGCAAACTAGCGTCTGAGAGTGAGATTTTCCATTGATTTGGGAGTATCTTGATCTTTTATGCAAGACTATTCTGATATATATATATATATATAAGCAACTTGTCTCTTGGTAACGCTCCGTTCGTCTGTGTCACCTAGCAACAAAACTATATATATTAGATTCGAAGTTAAAAACACTGAAAAAATTATCTTAACTGTTTACATATAGGTCATATCAGCTTACAGGGGCTTAAACTATCTTAACTCCATAGATCCCATCAGCTTACAGGGGCTTAAACTATCTTAACTCCATAGATCCCATCAGCTTACAGGGGTTTAAACTATCTTAACTATATAGGTCACATGAGATTTATGGATTTGTGAAATCTTCCACTCACCACAGAGCCACTTGAATAAGACGACTTCTTGAAGCAGATAAAGCGGGTATACCTCATTAATTTCTGCAGGAACGTTATGGGGTAATGTTTGGGTGAAAAGATTATATTAGTGAGGACTTGGACTCCTACTGCCTAGAGTAGTTCATTACTACTCTGAATAACTCGTCTAATATATATAAAAAAAGCCATTTCTTAATTTGTGTGTGTAACACTCATATTACTAGTCATTTTTAATTTAAGTTTCCACCAATCTTAACGATTTTTTTTAGTGTACTCGCATATTTTTTTCTCAATGTGTGATTGTTCTTATTTTATGATAAAGGGGGAAATTTTGTGAGCAAAGCTCCCTGAAGGAAGAGCGAAAGGGCCCCTATTATGTTTTTCTTCACAAAACTCCAACCCATTATTAGTTTAAGGGTTGGGCAACCCAATGATCTATAATTCACTCAAACTTAGCTCACAAAATAAGTGTTCACTTAAGGTGGGGTTGATATATTCAAATATATTGAGTAATTGTATGTTCTCACTTATCACAACATTTAGCGCTAAGTGTTTGTTTCTCAGATATTCACATAAAGCTAATCAAGGGCTATCTGCACTAGCCATCACTAATTTTGAAATGATAGACTAAAGGGAAAATGGTTAGTGAACAGCAACTTCTATCAACTGTTGTTTGATCAAATAGTGAAATTTAAATGTCATCCTTATTATGCACCCACAACCCCAAAATGCAAAGCATAATTTTTTTTCTTTGCAATAGCGGGGCATGAACTCTGGACCCACAGATTCATAGTCTAAAACATTAACTAATGGGCCACACTTGACTCCTTTAGTGTAAAGAACTGACCAAAAAAAAAATGGGTAAATTCAATATCTTTCTTTGTAACATGCACAAGGGGGATCCAACAATAATTAGGGAGATTACTTACAACATTGGTGATATTTTTGTTTATGTGCTGTTGTTAGGAATCTTGTAATCAAGAAAGACCCACATGCAGTTTGGTGAATAAGTAATTTGAGCCAGTCAGTAATTCCAGGGTTAAAACAAAAATCGTACTAGCCCAAGTCACTGAATCCACAACTTCATGCTTCATGAGAAGCTTTTTGGTAAAAAATAAATAAATAAAAATAACATTTATTGGGCATTCTGTTGAAAAATGTACCTTTTACAACTGAAGATTAAAATAATGGAAAAAAAAAAGGAGTGGATAAAAATAATTACCAGAAACAAAAAATTCAAACATTTAATTGGTTGCACAGTATGCCTATAGGGACACATCAATAATATTAGCTTAAAGTTTTTACAGCCATCAAGATTACTGGCACAGCTAATCTTCACCAATGAAAAGATAAATTGACAGAAGTACTAGTTCAATGATAGATACCTTTATTATCATATCACTTACGCTCAGCTGAGAAAAGAATTTGCTACATTCAAGCTACAATAGGTATGGTATAATCATACAATAACACACTATGTTTCAAGACTATTTAATCTGGACCCCAAGGATGAGCATAATCTTGATATACAAGACTTTCTATTTTACTGAGTGCCTTCTATGTTTAATAAAGCTACTTTGGGTTAGTTACATGATAAATCACAGTCTACAACTATTATTCCAGCTATGCTAAACTATTGATGATCAACAGTAACCATTACTTGAATAAACTGCATTAAATAAATCATCAGGTCAAAACCTCAGTATGAAATTAAAACTTAACTTTATGTCTTTTTAGTGACTACCAAATGGAACCACAATTGATTGGTTTAGTAAAAACTAAATACCGATTACCCACCAGGTTGTTTTGCATTCAATTAATGATATCAATTTTCCTCCAACACAGAAAACATGACTGCTGAAAATACAATCAAATGGAACATAATGGAACAATCTGTTGAGTAGTTTAGGTTCTACAGGTTTGAAATGGCAAAAAGTGTGGCTTAATAAATTCAATAAACCTCTAAATAAAAGCATTTTAGGAAAATGTTAAAAAAAAATTAAAGTTCTCAGTGATCGTGAATATATGTAGAGACCAGCTACAACAACGTGAATTAAAAATGTAATTACTACAACAAATCTCATTCAACAGTTACTACAGTAACATTACAGTAAGTGGGGCTATAACAATCATTATTAAACTATATATACATATAATAATGGACATCACCAGGATTTTCTTAGGAGGGTTCATTTATGTTTATGGTACATATTTCTTACGTTTACATGCGTATTCGTAAAACTGTATATTTAGTACTCGATAATGAACAAGTTGATATAAATATTCGTGCAAGTTTTAAAAGTAAACCAGTTACTGTCTACTCTTTCCTTGATTGAAAGTTTGTATGTATGTTACTCTTGTTTTTGATAATTATTTTACACTTTATTATATAAGGAAAACATAGCATCATTTAAATCTTTCAGTTTAAGCACCGAATCAAACTGGTTAGGAGTGTGTGTGTGTGTGTGTGTGTGTGTGTGTGAAAACGACAGACATAGCCTTCTGTAACATAGTTAGCTACTCCAACATAAGTGAAAATAACGTAATTCTAATTTTACGGTATGACATTTGCCTTTTCAATTAGGTGCAAAAGGCATGGTACTTGTTAATTCACATTGTACTGAGAAATAGGACCACTGGCCATTCAGTACATCATCACCATACTGAGAATATTGGTTAGGCTGTTATCCAGCAAAAAGATTGGTGGCTCATAGAATTAATGTTTATTTGTGTTCCAAAAGAAGGAGGTGGGGTTCACGTTCCCTGAACCCCTCCTGGCAACGTCCAATATTTTTAGAGTACCACTACATAACAGTCTGAGTTGCAAGACAATAAAGCCTATATATATATATGTATGTGTGTAATATATTCTCTATCAAACTGCTATACAAACAACTATTCTACAAAAGGTAAATAGACTATCTTACAATCTCTAACTACTGCTACTACTAAAATAGATCTACAAATTTCACACTTCACAGCTTTAATACACATGCTTCTCAGTATGCTAAATCAACAATTCAAAACTTGTCAATAACCATGTTTTTCACTATTAGTTCTACTAAAAGGTACCTAGATATATCTGTTTCCATAAAGATACAGAAGGAAATCTCATTTCCAATGTTTCATCAGATATTATATTACTACTATACTATTTTTTTTTCCTATACAATAATAATCTTAAACTTTGGTTTAATGTTCTCTCTCAGATAACTGAAATTATTTATTTCTGATCATCCTGAGCATATCTTTTATCCTGGTAACAAAGTTCAGGCAGATCAGAAATTATTCAATGTCTCAGTTTAAACAATTTCACAAAAAATAGTTTTTTTTTTAATAAATGCATAAATAAACATCATAATACCACACAAATATAAAATTGAAAAAGACTGAAATAAAAAATAATGTTTAAAATATCACACTTCAAGAGTAAAGTAGGAACAGTATACACATAATGGGTAACGTGACTTGCAATAATGTGCACTTATCTTGTGCATCAGAACGAGTACTACTGTAACACACCAACATTAAGTTCACACAGTTTGCAGCCCCACTCAGAACAAATCATCCTCTCTAACCAAAGTTCATACCCGTCATTCACTCTTTTATAAAATGAATAAACTAATAAACAAAAGAAAGACTGACATCACCATTAACTTAAATTACAAGGTTCCCAGTATTTTATAAACTACATATCTTACCTTATTATCAACTGTCATTAAGAATACTTCTTTCTGAGTTGATACAACTATCTTTTTCAACCTATGTACAATTTTAAGCTAATGCACTATAGAAAGTTTTTATGCTGGCTAGTATCCTGGCATCTCTGCAGAACATGCATATAATACGTAAGTCTTAACTAATGTGATACACACAAGTTCTGTGTGTTCTTATCTTATAAGCACAAGCCTATACATGCAATAACTCTATACGAACCTTAACATTAACTCACACATTTGCTGAGCACTCATTGCAGAAAAACTACAAAATTCCTTTTCTTTCCAGAATATTTACTCTCTGATTTTCATCTCATGTGCTGAACCTTTAACACATTGTTTTTGTATTTTATTTACAACTAATATTTTCATTCACCAATAGACATGCAAGATCTAACTATTAGTAGAGTGGACTACAAAGAAGAATACATTAACTATCAAAACGCAAATGTATTCAGCCAGTTTTCACAATTTGATCGAACAGCTTAAAATGCTACAAACTGATATTTAATTAACAGAAAACTTTCTTACGTTACATAGCCATTATTATTATGTTATTACCAGAAATAGTTCTCACAAAGTAATTTAGTGTTATATTATAATTTCTTTAATAGTTACTTTTATACTAATGCTCAGTACAGGTGTCTGGTTCAAGCAGCAGAGAGAAAGCAGAAGTTCTACTAATGTGGATAAATTGTTTTTTTCATATTTTTACTTAAACTGATTTCTCACTCAAAAAAAAATAAAATAGAATTATTATCTAGTTGTGGCCTCAGTCTTGGATGGTACATCTTTTTCAGGATGAGGACAATTTTTATCATCTTCCAAAGGCTGCATTTCATCTTCTTCATTGGGAACTGCCCTGGTTCTGACATCTTCTCGAGAGAAATCTCCCCAGCCCACGGTTGAAAGACGATCTAACGATATAACAGAGGAAACCAGTTCCCCTAGAGTCATGGCCACTGGATGTTCAATATCTTTCCTCTGTTTCCAGGAGATGAGAACCCAGTCAAGAAAGAATAAACACCCCGCTACAACCTTCAGTCCTGTGCACATTCCAATATACCTAAGTGTACCAAAATATCAATAATGATTATTTCTTGCTTCTATACAGAAAGACAAGAGATGATTTCAGAAGTAAAAAAAAAATATATAACAGAATTATAATTGCTTGTATTTATTTCAAAATATTAAGGTTACTGTGAGTTCGTTTTGTTTTAGAAGTTTAGAAAAAGACTACACAAAAGCTGCTGGTGTGTAGCCATCTTTATTTTGAGCTGACAGACTAGAGGGAAGATAGCTAGTCAACAACACACACTGTCCACTCTTGTGTTACTTTTATTGGAATGAAAAGTTGGATTTGGCAATAACTAGCACACCCATGGTCCCAAAGTGTGCACAAATCTTTGAGGCAAAAAGGACAGTCTGGGCATGCCAAATTACTGTGACAGTAAATGCAACCACATAAACCTTTTGAGGGTAAAAATAAATCTAGTGCCACCCAATTGGACAAGTCTTTTGTTTGGTCTCCCTCTCCCACAGAAACTTCAGTTAAAGTTTTTAATCAAACTATGTTCCCCTGAGCTCTCTACAGTAAATGTATGAAAAATTCCATCATGTAGTTGCAGAAAAAACAACCGACTTTCCTAATGGGCCACCTCAGATGTGCTAAATTCCCCTTTTCACAAACTTTGTAGAGGTTTTGATTAAGATACCTCCCTTTCCCTTTTTCATGGACTGGGGAGTGGTTCAACATCCTTTTCTCAACAAAAATAATAATCCAAGGAGCTGTACATACTGAAACAACAAGGATGGTCACATAGTAGGCTGTTGTATTTTATACAAATACGTGTCACGTTGATGTAGGCCAAATAACCAAAGACTAACGACTAGGAAAGCTACAATGACAACAAAATAAAAATAGTAATTTTCTTACGTATAAGTAGCAAAAAAAAACTCAAATACTAAAATATAAAATAATCCTAACAAAAATTAAATATACGTATTATTAGCAACAGTAAGTCATAAATAAATACTACTCAATAAAATTAAGAAAATATGTTAATTTGTAAAAAAAATATAAACAAATAGCTTTTAGCAATAGCACTAAAGCTGATTCATCTTTTGCCTTACATTGAAGGAAAAAAATTAAAAAAAATGTCATCCTGGTAGATAGTCCACATAAGGTAGGTTTATCTCTAGCAAAGGTATCTTGTCTAAAGTAATGTAATATAGATATATCTAGTAATATATTGGCAACAACTGAATGACAGTAATCAATTTCTTTAAAATAATAAAAAACCAACCTAAGTCGAAACTGTTCAATGTCATGCATCAGACAAAATCCACTAGGTCTTCCACAGTAAGCTTTCCACACCAAACATGTGGAGTCAATAACATTCCCAAACATGATAGGAGAAGGAATATATCCTGAAAAATAGAAATACGATAGTTATAAGTACACTTACATTTGTCATACTCCCTAACATACAGAAATTACTCTTATCTTTGAAGTATTTACGTATTCTAGCGAATGACAAAATTAATGCCAAACATGATAATTTTTAAGGTACTGTACGACAGATTAAAAGGATTTTATTTTTACTTTTTAATTAAATAAAGGTAACCTATTTAAACCAAAACATGTAAAGGTAAATATACAAATTATAAAAACGATATTCATTATGTGAAATATCACATAAAGACAAGTAATAAAGACCAGGAGCAGATTTCTCTATAAACGCTTTTTTTAAGGAATCAGTAAAAACATGCAGCTTACTTCATTCCTAATTTTACATATCAAATTACAAATGTATAAATAACATTCTATGACATAACACAAATAACAACACATGCACCATAACCCATACAGGTCACCAAAAAACAGTTTTATCTCTGTACTTAAGTCATCCTATTAAAGTTGTTTATTCATAGGTATTTCTACTAAACCTAACTATGACATTACACATTTAAAAGCAGTTTTCACTAGTTTCAACAGGGATCACTATGTCAAACTAGTCTTTTTTATTTACACAAATTGTGCTTACAAAAAAGTAATTAGGTCCAAAAACCTTGCTTGATAACTTGTTTGTTTGTTGAACTACATGCAAAGCTACTGTAGGACTATCTGAGCTAGGAATGTCTAATTTAGAAATGATAGACTAGAGCAAAAGCAGACAATCAACACCTCCTACCACAAACTCTTGGGTAACTCTTTTACCAATGAATAGTAGGATTTAATGTCACATTATAGTGCTCTCATAACTGAAACTGTGAGCATGTTCGGTGATGGGATTTGAACACGTGACACACAGATTACAAGTCAAGTGCCCTAATCACCAGGCAACGCTAGGCCTAAGGTTGATAAATTTCATCATACACTGTTTAACCAGAAGAATTATTTCACAGGCACAAACACACACACACAAAAACAAGAAACCTAGTAACCTAAGGCACTTTCAAAATTTTAGATCTACCTTTATTTATGGTATCCTCTGTGGCAATGCATAAACATTAAGGCTTTTGAAAGGAGTTTTTCTTATGTTACTGGTTTCCCATTCAATCCTTAAGAAGAGGGATCTACCTTCCTAAAGTGCTCTGGTTGTCAAAAGTTTATCCTAAAGTGCTCTGGTTATCAAAAGTTTATCCTAAAGTGATCTGGTTATCAAAAGTTTATCCTAAAGTGATTTGGTTACCAAAAGTTTATCCTAAAGTGATCTGGTTATCAAAAGTTTATCCTAAAGTGCTCTGGTTATCAAGTCTTGTTTTGTAATTTAGCTATTTTTTGATCCTACGTTATTTCTAATATTAGAAATAGTAACATCGTAATAAACGTTATTTTTATGACAATTAATGAAACCTTGTTTTGCTGTATCTCATTTTTCTACATGAATGTCCTTGGTTAAAATGGTTCTGCATTTTTTTTTTATTATGAAACAATTAATCAAATACATCTAAATGTAACAAAGGCTCCACATAACTTGATAATTTACATCATAGTGCAATAATAAGTTTATTAATTGTGAGTATTGCAATGACAAAGCTTTAAATTTTACATTTATATTTTGTATTTCATGGCAAAACTATTAAGGCTACTTGCCACCATTCCTAATTTGAACAACTGACCAGAGAGAAAGCAGCCAGTCAGCAGTACCTTATACCACCCACACTAAGGAATTGACCAAGAGTGTAAAGCACAAGGGATTCAAACATGATTCTGTCTCTCTAAAATAAAGACTTTACAAAAGGGCTAAGCCATGCACAAAGTTTTAAATGAAGTTAAACATCACATTAACGATTTTGTTATATTGGTCAAAATCTGCCTATAAAGCAAATGCTAAAAATCCTAGAGAAAAATATTACAATTTAATGATTAACATGCAATCACTTTATTTCACATGAGATCTTATTAAAAAACAATATCATTATAAAAATACTTACAACATTTTCGAAGTTCATGAATCAATGCAAAAACAATAGCCATAAATGAAATAGAAACACTAAGTCAAACAATTCTGATGTTACTTTCTAAAGCACTACATTCAGTAGGTCTTCTCAAGAAAGAATTGCCCAAAACTTTAGACTTAGCCTTGTACTAATTGGTACATGTTTATTTCTGAGTCTCCAAACTAAACAATCAAGGTAACACATTGTGTGATAGCATATTCTACTTTTATTTTGTTATGTTTTTTTTTTTACTTTTCATTTATTATTCCTTCTATTGGTTAGTTCAACTATGAATTTTTATTTATATTAAAACACTAACTCACCTTCTAGCTAGAACATGTTGATTTTGAGCATGTATGTATGTATGTATGTATGTATTTATTAAGAAACTGACACAAGCTTCCCCTAGTGCTGACATACAAATATTAATGTTGTGAAAGATTATGTTAATTAACTAGTCACATGAGATGTAACCTCATGCTCTAACACTAATTAAAAACCCTTTCTTGATCTTAAACAGGTGAGTTCACGAGATATAGTTAGAATGAATTATTGCTGTTTATTGATTGATATTGATCTTGAAAAGGGGGTTGAATTTTGAAATATCATGTTTCTGTTGAATTAGGTTTTTCTTCTTATGGTTCTTTTTTTCCTAATTTATCTACTTATTGAAATGAATAACATTGATATTTATGTTGTATTGTTTATTATCATTTGTATCAAGTCCTGGCCAGGCACAGATTTACTAACTTCTTTTTTTTATTTAAGTGATAAAATTTGTATTCCAATTGTCTGAAAGTTATATTTTGGAATTTTGTTATTGTTTTAGTTGAATAAGTTGTTTTTTGTTCAACCCTAGTTGTAGCAGCATTATGTTTTAGTCCATTACAACATGTATTTTACAATCAACCACCTTACCCATATAAGTATGCATAACTAGATAGTCCACTCAATTTCCATGTGATCACTGCTGTGAAATTGCACTCAAAATTAAACATGAAATATTTTTTTAGATAACCATTATCATGTGAATATATTATGTAGAAAACATTAAAACCAGAACCCTTCTACTTCTCTTTAAGTTTAAACAGCTTGTTTTGTGAAAAATGAGTTGTCTATACATTAATCACATAAATAAACAGTGTACCTTGATTTCAGTAACTATATAGATAATCCTCAACATCTTACAACTGATTTAATTTATTAAGTGATATGAATATAGTGATAATTTTTTATTATTTTTATAACTGCAAGAACTTTGTGTTTTTGCTCTTTGATTTTGGGATTCTTCAGCTAAAGCACACTTGAATCAGCACATTGACATTTTACACTAAAACCAGTTCTGCACTCTGTAAGCAATATTTACTTTATGTTTATGACATACATTTTTATCCTCTTTATGTTGTTAAGAGAAATAACGAAAACATTTTTATGAGTTTATTGCCCATTCAACTTTCCCCAGTGACACAAGCAAGAAAAATGTAGAAGGACTTGAAAAACAGAAAAGAATATATAATAACAGTTCATAGGTGGGAATAGATATTTAACAAAATGGGAATTTAAAATCAGCTGGCTCATTAGATCCACCTGGCACTTTAAAATTTAATATTATATCATATTTCATGCCATTTATTGCAGTTTCATAAGCATTTCGAACTATTCCAATACATACCAAACAGTCTGAAAATGACAAACTGCATTCCCAGAGCAAAAGACCGTTCTTCTTCACTAACAGATCTGCAAGTTTAAGATCCAAGATTCACAGGTTACCAGTAGGAAAAAAAATACACAACAAAAACCAGTTAAATGTATGAAATATAATACAAAAACTGTTCTCAAAATGTGTATAAAAATCTGTTACTAACAAACCAAAACACATCATTTTCTGTTTATAGCAGTTTATATTAACAGTTAATATGCATTCATTCAAGGATTAACTCTAACATCAGCTACAACCGTTATACCAGCAAAAACCAGCCATTAGACTATAAAAAAATCCAATGTCACCTTTTCTCTCTATCATTATTTACATAAGCATTACAAAAAAACATAAAACCTATCAAAATAATTAACAATTACACAAGCAAGCTACTCTAAAATAACATTTTTACCTTTGAATGAGATTTATTTAACCAAATAATTCTGATTTATTATTAATTCTTAGTTCCTATTTTAATCCCTCTAATTAATGCGTATGTTGTTAAAGATTCCTTTTCTTTCACTATTGAAATTTCTCAATTTCCAGACACCAATATATTATGGCAAGCTTAAACATTGAATTTCTTTTCACTGACATTCCTTTAGAAAAAAACAATACAAATCTGTCTTAAACTATTTCCCAGTAACAATAACTGGAGAGCTGGAGTAAAGTTCTAGTATACTAATAATCCACATACTTAACACAAGGATGAAAGATAAATACGCACATCACACTGTATAACACTAATCTACCTGAAATAGCTCTAATTTTGAGTGAGTATCTGGATTGTTTACAGAGGCTTGATCATTTACCTGAGGGTTATCATCAAGACAGGCATCTGCATGATTGACACAACCAATGTCATTGTGAAAAGAAGCAACATAAATGGAATCATAGCCTTACAGACTTGTGGACAAGATCCGTAGGTGGCAAGGGGTACAGCCGTTACATCTTCGAGTATGGTCTTATTGGTTGGAATACAGGCACAACTTGTAAAGTTCTGTAACAACAGGTTGTACAAAGTAGATATATTTACCAAAATTGTCATCATAACACTATACAGATATCTTGTTAGTTTGAATACAGGCACAACTTGTAAAGTTCTGTAACAATGGGTTCACAAAGTAGATATATTTACCAAAATTGTCATCATAACACTATACAGATATCTTGTTAGTTGGAATACAGGCACAACTTGTAAAGTTCTGTAACAACTGTTTCACAAAGTAGATATATCTACCAAAATTGTCATCATAACACTATACAGATATCTTGTTAGTTGGAATACAGGCACAACTTGTAAAGTTCTGTAACAACTGTTTCACAAAGTAGATATATTTACCAAAATTGTCATCATAACACTATACAGATATCTTGTTAGTTGGAATACAGGCACAACTTGTAAAGTTCTGTAACAACTGTTTCACAAAGTAGATATATTTACCAAAATTGTCATCATAACACTATACAGATATCTTGTTAGTTGGAATACAGGTACAACTTTTAAAGTTCTGTAACAACTGTTTCACAAAGTAGATATATTTACCAAAATTGTCATCATAACACTATGCAGATATCTTTGACATTACTTAAAAAAAAAAAAAACACAAAAATTATATGTCAATAATGTTTGCTACAATTAATTAAAAGCACATTAATGAGTTAAGAGTAGTTTATTTGTAGAAACGTATAATACTACTGTATGTGGGCAAACCTTATGAAATGATATGGTCCATTGTGCTAACTGAAGAGCCAATGATATGTGAAGTGACAGCCTGATTACAGCTATTCAGCACAGGCTTTCAAGGTTGTTACAATAGCTGTAAGCATGCATTTCTCCAACAGTTTAGTTTGGTAATGCACCCATATTAGTACTACTGTGTACCTGTCATATAGCAATTTCACAGACAAATGAACAAATGGGAATGTGCAAAGCAGTTTAAATATATATACATATATGTAGCACCATGGTTAAATATTAAACATCACTGCTATATTTTAGAAAATTAAGTCTCTATGGATGAATTCCATACAGTTAATGGTGTAATAATTCAAATTCAAAATATACATATGAATAATATTTTAAGAGAACTTATGTATATTATACTAATCACCTACACTGTACTCAAACTTATGTACAACCAATAGCTAATGGTAAAAGGAAGATAACTGCCGAGTTAATTGGAACACATTTTCATAGTATAAAAGTGATATTATTACTGGATTAATTGTACCATTTTTTTACTGTAAAAAGGTGATATTATTACTGGGTTAATTACAACATTTTTGTGGTATAAAGGGAAGATTATAACATATTTTTGTGATATAAAGGTAAGATTATTATTGGTGTACTTATGACACTTTTTTGTGATATAAAGACATGATTATTACTGGGTTAATCGTGACATTTTTGTAGTATAAAGGTGAGATTATTACTGGATTTATTATAACATTTTTGTGGTATAAGGATAAGATTATTACATGATTATTTATAACACATTTGTAGTGTAAAGATGAGATTGTTGCTTTGTTAATTATGACATTTTTGTGGTATAAATATAAGATTATTACATGATTAATTATAACACTTTTTAGTGTAAAGATGTGATTATTACCCTGTTAATTATGACACATTTTTGTAACATAAAAGTAGGATTATTACTGGATTATCTATATTTTTCAGTATAATGGTAAGATTATTATATGATTATTTATAACACTTTTGTAGTGTAAAGATGAGATTATTACTTTGTTAATTATGACATTTTTGTGGTATAAATATAAGATTATTACATGATTAATTATAACACTTTTTTTAGTGTAAAGATGAGATTATTACCTTGTTAATTATGAAACATTTTTGTAACATAAAAGTAGGATTATTACTGGATTATCTATATTTTTTAGTATAATGGTAAGATTATTATATGATTAATTATAACACTTTTTTAGTGTAAAGATGAGATTATTACTTTGTTAATTATGACACATTTTTGTAACATAAAAGTAGGATTATTACTGGATTATCTATATTTTGTAGTATAATGGTAAGATTATTACTGAGTTAATTATATCATATATGAATTATACTTGTCTTTATGAGTCAAAAACAATATATAAAATTTATTTCAGAAGTAAAAACATAATGTCTGATAAGTTTTCAACAGCTTTTTTTATATGGAATGTATTAACACTTTATCTTTTGATGATTTGAAAACATAGAAAATTTGATATAAAAATATCAATAAAATGTGTTTTTTTTCTATCAGTTTGTTACACCTACATCACAGTAAAAAAATTGAAAAACTACTTTTAAGTGAGATTGCTTTCCAAAAAATAATAAAAGTATTAACTGTCTGATGTAATATGTATATATCTAATGGAATTCTTTGCCTGAACTATTCCTATCATTTGACTACGACCACTTTCAAGTCGACATCCAGCATGGCATGGAGAAAAGTATGTTATTCCATTTTGTCCACAAACTGGTTCGATTTCTTTAGGTGTACACTGGCATCCAAGATTGCAATCAGCAGTAAGGTTTACTTGAAAGTGTTCAAGCTCAGTGCTGAAAAAAGAAAAACATAAAAAAATTGGTATATATTACATATTTTATTGATAAAACTAAAACAGAATACTTGCTCGTCTCTGTCAGAGGGCTAACCCTAAAGGGAGGTCTCACAAAATTTCATTATAGATTTTAAATCATTTTAAAAACTACAATTCCTAATAACTTCTAAGAATTTTTGTTATCAAAGAAACAAATTAAAAAGGTTTTGATTGAATATCTATCAATTATGGTAAATCAAAAGATGTGATATAAAAAACAAATTGTAAACAACTGTGGTAGAAATAGAAAGTTTAGTTTTAATTTTGAAGCTGATTGATTGCTAAACACCTTGTGCTACTCACCATAGGGGTCCAGCATGGTCAGGTGGTTAGGGCACTCAGCTCGCAATCTGCAGGTCGCGGGTTTAAATCACTGTTACACACCAAACATGCTCGCCCTTTCAGCCGTGGGGGCATTATAATGTGATGATCAATCCCACTATTCGTTGGTAAAAAGAGTAGCCCAAGAGTTGGTGGTGGGTGGTGATGACTAGCTGCCTTCCCTCTAGTCTTACACCACTAAATTAGGGACAGCTAGTGCAGACAGCCCTCGTGTAGCTTTGAGCGAAATTCATAACAAACCATACTCACCATAGAGACTTCAGAGCTAGACTTTTAAATACATAGTGTAAAAAAAAATCTTATCAGAGAAAATATTTGGTAACTGACATTCCACTGATCTTTGTACACAGATATAATGAAGATTTAAGCAGTATTCCACATCTTGAACAGTTGATAGATGGAAACAAGAAGAAACAAAATGACTGCATTAATTTTGAGCTTCTTAAGAAAAAAATGGGAAGTTTAATTAACGATATAACTCCTTGGCCTGATAATATTTCCCCAAGGATTTTGAAGGAGGTTAAGGAGTGGATATGTGAGCCACTTGCTACTATTTTTTGTAAGACCTTGAATAGTGAACGGGTACCAGAGGATTGGAAGTTAGCTGATGTCACTCCTGTTTTCAAGGGAGGTGATAAAAATTGTCTCGGTAATTATAGACCCATTAGTCTTACACCAGTTGTAGGAAAGTTTTAGAAAGTCTGATAAAAGATTATTTGCAAAGTCTTTTAATAACATTTAGAATTTTATTGGATAGTCAACATGGTTTCACTAAGGGAAAATCTCGCATTACAAATCTTTTGAGATTCTTTGAAAAGGTTACTGCTTATTTAGATGAGGGTAAGGATGTAGATTTGGTATATCTGGATTTTCAGAAAGCATTTGACAAGGTGCCACATAAAAGGCTTGTAAAAAACTTAGTTCTGTAGGAATGGGGGATAAGTTGGTTAATTGGATAGAAGAGTGGCTGGATAGAAGAAAGCAGAGGGTTGTTACAAATAGAGTTCAGTCAAACTGGATTAATGTCACAAGTGGGGTACCTCAGGGCTCAGTCTTAAGACCTTTGCTCTTTTTGATTTACATCAACGACATAGATGAAGGGATAGTCAATAAATTATTTAAATTTGCAGATAATATTAATGTCTTGGGTGTTGCTAGCTGTGAAGAGAATGCTGCTGATTTACAAAAAAGATTTAGATCATTTAGTGATTTGGGCAAATAAATGGTAGATGGGTTTTAATTACAATAAATGCAAGATAATGCATGTGGGTTATCATAATTTGAATTATAAGTATAATCTGGATGGGAATAACCTTAATAGTGTTATGAAAGAAAGGGATCTTGGCGTAATAGTCGATCAGTCTTTAAATCCATCCAAACAGTGTGCTGTTGCTAGTAGTAGGGCAAATAAGAGTTGAGGTTGTATCTATAGAAATATTAAATACAAGTCTAAAGAGGTTATACTTTCACTGTATAGGTCACTGATTAGGCCACATTTGGTATATTCTGTTCAGTCTTGAACTTCTTACCTTAGGAAGGACATTCAATTGTTGGAAAAGGTTTAAAGGAGAGGTACCAGAATGGTGCCTGGGATGGAAGGGTTGTCATACAAGGTAAGGTTGAGATCTCTCAAATTGTTTTGTTTTTTAAAGTAGAGTTAGAGGGGATCTGATTGAGGTGTTTAAGATTGTAAATGGAATTGATAGTGTTGATGCATCATCTTTCTTTATACTTAACAGTGATAATAGTAGGACTAGGGAACACAAGTATACATTTTGGGAGGGTAGGAGTCATCTGCACTCAAGACAGTTTTAATTTTCTAACAGGGTAGTTAGCATTTGGAATAGGTTGCCTTCGGATGTTGTGGAGGCAGTAAATTTCGTACAAAGCTACATGAGGGTTGTCTGCCATAGCCATCCCTAATTTAGCAGTGAAAGACTATAGGGAAAGCAGCTAGTCAACACCACCCACTGCCAACTCTTGAGCTACTCTTTTACCGAAAAATAGTGGGATTGACCATCACTTTATAATGCCCCCACAGCTGAAAGGGGTGAGCATATTTGGTGGGATGTGGATTTGAACCCATGACCCACAGATAGGGAGCCAAGTACCCTAACCACCTGGCCATGCCAGCCCACAAGTTTAAGAGAAAGTGTGATAACTATATAAATGATAAGGGCTGGCTGTAAGATTTTTTTTTCAAATTTATTTACTTAATAGTTTTAGTTTAGTTTAGAGGACGAGACAGCAGAGATGGACCAATAGGTCCCTTGTATTCCCAAAACATTGTTATTATTATTTTTATTAAACTATTTGTTTTATCTTAAGTTTAACTAAATTTTGATGATCCTGACAAACATTGCGAGACTATGTGCAAGAATGGAGGCCATAACCCTTTACAGAGTATCATCAAATGGTATTATTTACACAAAGTTAAAGTTATCAACTATTCATTTTACCCTACATTGCTGATTTAATGACAGTTCATGGTAAAGAAGAGTAAATACCAGATACTGTACATACAGGGATACTGAAAAATGCCATAGATATGCAATTTAGAGATTCTAGAGATTACGCTAATGCAATATGCAAACTGTATGATGGATAAAAGTTTTTTATCCTTCACATTTACATCACCCTGCACTCCATCTGGTAAGAGTTTGAATCAGAGAGATGTTGGCAACTCAAAGGCATATCTTGAGTATAAATGTATTTGTAACTCATCTGATTTTTTTGTGTACAACATACTTGTACAGTTTAAAAAAGCTTGCCTCATTTTGTAAAAATATATACGTAGAAATTTCCGAAATATAGTCAACAGAGTTGATCCAATGGTCTAACCACATATAAATAGCTTCAATAATTAATGGAAAAACTTTCTAAAAACAAAACATTTGGTAAGTGATACTCCACTGATGTTACTACACAGATATGTATTATAATTAAATTAAAATATTTATCTTAAGTTTAATTGAATTTCAATAATCCTGAAAGACAGTGAGCAAGAGTTAGCAGATGTCCATTAAGTTATTTTTTGTTAACAGCCTAAGCTTTTTGTTTATGAGCTACTGGTTCTGTAACTTTTCCTTTTCCCCATTAAACAGAAGCAACAATGTTTCAATATTATGGAAAACACTTGTGTTACCACTCATCAATTGGTATATTTCACATTAAAGATCAACAGCATTTATTGAATTGGAAAGTAGAATAATTCAGTAAAATTTTCTGAAGCTTGTAAGATTACTAGCTTACGTCACTGTCTGTACAGAAAATATAAGTAAAAGACAAGAACAAACACAGTTATACACATTCATAATAACATACAAAACTGGTTTTACCTTATGGGTAGCATATTATTCATGCATCCTTACACAGAAATCAGAAATAAACAATATATTAATTTTAGAATAAATCCAAAGTTTTGATGATTATTGCCTATAGTGTCAATTTAATGCAATATTCCATTTTATTAACTCAAGACTAAGATTTATTAAACATCCATAAGCATTTTATGAGTGTTAATCCTTAAATATACTTAACAGTACGGATCATGATGAAACAAAATGGCAGCCATAAAAATCACCCGTTTAAAGCTACCTTTACAATGTCTGAATATCAACAATGACTATTTCACAGTATTGGCTGAGCAAAGCTAAAGCTTATTATACTTATAAAGCTGTCTAAATCACTATATATATATATATATATATATATATATTTATATTTATGGAGTGAATCCAAATTTCAATATTTCAATGAATTTTCATCTAACAAAGCAAATAAATGACTTTTCCAGACAAGTATACTGAAAAAATGATGAACCTTATCACTCTAGGGTCCCAATGATTCCTTTCTTGTATGAAAAAGGACACTAGTATATGCATATAAAATGAATGATGCACTACTTTGGGCATATAATTAGATTTGAGATTAGGTTGGGAGAGATCCTAATGAGTAATAAAATCATATCACTATATCTGCACCCTACACTTAAAAAAAACTTATTAAAAAAATTCTTAACTTTTGTAAAAACAAGTTAAGATGAACATATACATAACCTAGCTAGCTATAGTAATATAGAAAGTTTTAATGCTACAAAATATGTTGAAACAAAAATGTCAAACTATAAAAACTGAGTTACTTAAAATTTAAAAAATTTATTCCTACTTTGGCTCAGACTAACATAATTACAATGATTTGCCAAAGTAGGGATAATATTTTTAAATTATAAATAACTCAGTTTTTGTAGTTTTGACTTTCTTGTTTCAGTATTTTTTGTAGCATTAAAATTTTCTATATTACTATAGCTAGCTAGGTTACGTATAAATTGATCCATACATATCTTATAAAATTAAAAAACAAATTTGTTATACTTGTTAAATGAGGAAGTGAAGTAAATGTTAAAATAACTTATTATTCATAAAATAAAATCACCTTTTCACTAATCTTGTGCAAAACATCTGGGTATGAAATAAGAAATAATAAGAATAATTAAATGTTTGTTTTTTGAATTTCGCGCAAAGCTACATGAGGGCTATCTGCGCTAGCCGTCGCTAATTTAGCAGTGTAAGACTAGAGGTAAGGTAGCTAGTCATCACCATCCACTGCCAACTCTTGGGCTACTCTTTTACCAACGAATAGTGGGATTGACCGTCACATTATAACGCCCCCACGGCTGAAAGGGCGAGCATGTTTGGTAGGATGGGGATTCGAACCCGCGACCTTCAGATTGCGAGTCGAGCGCCCTAACCACCTGGCCATGCCGGGCCGAGATAATTAAATGTAAGGACAGATGAAATAAATAAATATTTTCTTATTTTCATATACTCTTACTGCACATTACATTAGCGTGAGCTACTCAATTTTGTAACAGAAATGCTATAAAATAATGGCAAATAATGGCAAAAAGTTAAGAAAATTTGACTCTGATCTTCACCAAAATCTTTCTTTAGTTTTCTGTGTTGAGCCAACAACAAATTAGTACTTACTTGTTGAAATAAGGTAATGTAGCACCAGCCATCCTTATATTATCACATCCAAGAAAATAGAGCACAATGAATAATCCCATGGAAAGAATATTGAAAAACATCACAAACTGGATAGCTCCTAAAATGTTGCACAAAAATGAGTCACTGAATTATCATAAGGATTTATTTATAAAAATATATTTCCTATCAGTTAAGATATTATCTATAAAATATTACAAACATTGTTAGCATAAAAACACAGTGATCATCATATAAAAGTTTTCAATACTTTTATTTTGATAACTGAAAATACAAAACTTTCAACATTTACAGTTGAAGCTTCTTCTTGGCCAGTTATTCTCCAAGAAAAACCAAGAAAAAAATTAACAGGCAGACTGATTATGTAATGAACCAGATACCAATGATACACTCTTGGGATTGAACAGTAATTAAAATAAAATCTAGGAGAGAATACACACCAAAAATTAGAAGCTTTAAGAAGCTATATATGGAAAACAAAAATAACAAAATAAGGAGTTTTAGAAATTCAGGGTTTTGTTTTGTGAAAATTACTGAGTAGAGATAGAATGATTAACATTTAGATTACATACACAATGTTCCAATAACAAAAAGTAATACAAAAAGTTGATGTAATATCAAATATTAGCATGAATATGAAAGGCTTTCTATAACAGTTATCAAAGATGTTATTAAAAGTTAAAGCTACTTTTGTGCAGTTGGGTGGGTTATGCTAATTTATATATATATATATATATATATATATTATAGCAGTAGAATAATAGTAAAATAAAGGACACAATTAAATATA